ACCTGTGATTCTTTTTTCAGGATTCTTTGATGTAAAAAAAAAAAAAAGAGCATTTATTTAAAGTATAACTTTTGTAACAATATACGCTATTGTTCAAAAGCTTAAGGTCAGTGTATGTATATATATATATATATATATATATATATATAATTTATATTTTAAGAAATTAGTTTTTTATTCAGTAAGGATTTGTTAAATTGATATTACTATTTTGTTTTTGCAAAAACTTTGATAACATTTTTTAATATACTTTTTTTTTCAGCTGTATTTTCAGCATCATTACTCCAGTCTTCGGTGTCACATGATCTTCAGAAATCAGTATAATATGCTGATTTATTACAGTTGTGCTGCTTAATATATTTTTTTAATAACCTGTGATACTTTTTTCAGGATTCTTTGATGTAAAAAAAAAAAAAAGAGCATTTATTTAAAGTATAACTTTTGTAACAATATACGCTATTGTTCAAAAGCTTAAGGTCAGTGTATGTATATATATATATATATATATATATATATATAATTTATATTTTAAGAAATTAGTTTTTTATTCAGTAAGGATTTGTTAAATTGATAGTGATAGTAAAGATTTATATTGTTAGAAAACATCTCTATTTTGAATAAATACTGTTCTTTTAAACTGATCAATGAACCCCAAAAAAGTATCACATGTTCCAAAAAAAACAAACAAACGAAATTAAGCAGCACAACTTTCAACATTGATAATAAAGCAGCATATTATACTGATTTCTGAAGATCATGTGACACTGAAGACTGGAGGAATGATGTTGAAAATACAGCTGCGCATCACAGAAATACAGTACAGTTTAACAGAGATTCACATAGAAAAAACATTATTTTATATTGTAATAATATTTCGTGTTATTACAGATTTTTCAGTATTTGTGATCAAATAAATGCAAGCTTGATGAGCATAAGAGACTTTTATAATGCTGCATAATTATTAAAAATGGTAATATGATAAAGTCCTTTCACGTCACCAGTTCGGCAGCCTACGCTTCACATAATAGGCCTGTAGGGGTGCTTCATTAAATATGATAGTTTCATGAAATAGTAAACGGTGTTTCAATATAAATAAATACAAGTGAATTGAACACTGCTAAACATTAATGTGACTTCTGGTGCTGCACGGTTTTGTGCAGTGCTTTGTAGTCAGTTAACATCCATTTTCTCAGCGGTGCAATTTGATTTATAAAATGAGATGAACCGCAGATCCAGATCGCTTCACAAACATAAGTCCATCTGTCCATGTCATTTTCAACCGATTTATGAATAATTATACTACGTCATTGCTGGAACGCCACTCTCTCGTGAACACGCGTACCAGTTAGCTAGAGATTACGGTTTATAAAGGTTTAAATATGGATATTTTTCTAAAAAAATAACACCCATTCACTGCCATTATAAAGCTTGAAAGAGCCAGGACATTTTTTAATATAACTTCGATTGTATTGGTCTGAAAGTAGAAAGTCATACACACCTAGGATGGCATGAGGGTGAGTAAATCATGGGCTAATTTTCACTTCTGGGTGAACTGTCCCTTTAACACATAACACACTGTCTTTACGAAGACAGCGTCTTTGTCCATCTTGTATTTGTCTGTTCAAGTACGAGAAGACACACAAGAGTCCGCTGTCCCGGGCCATTGATCACTGCTTATTGCCGAGCCCTGGTTTTTATTTTAGCCCTGAAACACACCTGCTCACCCATTGCTAATGTTTTGAACAGAATAAAAGTGCCTTCCTCTGTGGAGTGATGAAGACGTACAGGCAGAGGGAGAAACAGGGGACCAAAGTGTCAGACTCCACTAAAGGACCAGATGAGGCCAAAATCAAAGTAAGTCTATGCAGCCAGTTAGTCAGGTTTTTTTAGTTCTCCAAGTTGAATGATCGTTCCACCTGTCTGTCTATTGTTCATTCTGTGTAGCTGTTTGTGTTGCTGCTTTCTTTTCTATTGATCCAGTACCTGTCTGACGGTCAAGTGTTTTTATTTTCTGCTTCACAGGCTTTGCTCGAGAGAACTGGCTATACACTTGATGTGACGACAGGCCAGCGCAAGTATGGCGGTCCTCCTCCAGGGTCGACCCATGCTGGAGTTCAGCCCACCGTCGGCACAGAGGTTAGTGCTGTAGTCGTTAAAACGCACTACTAGTTTGTGTGAGGGACTGATGCCTGTTTTATTCTGCACTACTGTTAGATTCTGTTTTGAAGATGTTTAAAAATGCATGCATGCAATGCATCCATTGCTCAGTTCATTAAAACACTCAACTGGAGCTTGCATTAAAAACCAAAAATAGACTGCCAGATAATGAAAGTATTGCACTTGGCTTCACCTTAAAGCATACGGCATCATATCAGTTTCACATTGACAGTGCCGTCACCTGCATTTGCATAGTGAGATTTAGGTGATTGACAATACATGTCATTATTGCACACTGCATGGAAGGGGGAATCAATTTGCGTAGTGTTTTAACTTATCAATTAATTGCTGGGGTAGAAGTAGTTGACTCGTGCACTATCCCTAAAATGTACACTCTACAAATGCATACATTTTGTGTAAACACAGTGTTTAGTTCCCGAGTGAATCAACATGTTTGAACAAATCATTAATCCATTCATAAAGACGAATCAGTTTTGAACAAATCAGTTGATTGACTCCGTGCCTCTTGAATTGCCAGCACTTATTGGCAGTTTTGAGTTCTTATTCAAAGTATTTAAAAAAATGTATTTCATTTTTCTTCTCATACAATTATGAAATTGTAATTAGTATAAATGCATCTAAATGCTGCTTTAGATGCAGCTTCTGTGCTACTTGTTCAGTGCAAAAATGGATTTTGTTGATACTGATTTAATTTGATTTGTAATAGCCTATAATGTCTTGTGTTTAATCAATCAATTAGAATAATAAGAATTTCACACAAAACATGATGCATATATCTAATAAGGTAAAATATGTCTTTCAAAAGGCAAAAACGCCCCTGAAAATCAGTACAAGGGGGCAAATTTTGGT